CTTTTAGACACCTATTAGATAAATTATTTAATAATATGGAAAAGTATAAGGGTAATATAACCATTTTGGAATTGAGAATATGAAGTTTGAGGTTGGTGCGTGGCGTAGGAGCTAATACCGAAACATCGATTTTGGCGAGATTTAAAATCTCACTACGATGAATTCGATTGTCAGGATTACCACTTAGGTTGGCAAGACTTAAGATACAGAGATAAATTAAGAGAATCCACTCTCAAGAAACTCATTCAAAACAGAGGATAATTAAAACTTCATTAACTGATAAAACTTATGCATACAACGAAGGGAACATAGCTATTTAAAGGCAAAGTCTAACATAAGGCAATAAATGGAAAGTGAAAATGCAGTTGGGAGTTAGCCATTTAATGGCCACTTTGACAAAGTTGCACCGACCTAGTGGTGCTGCAGAGTAGCTTCTGCATGCTTGTTGTTTTTTTCCTGGTGCATTCTCCCCTGGTTAGAGAAAACTCGTCCTCGAGTTTGAGTTCAATGCTCATGATCCTCATAGTAAGGAGATAAGTCAGCTACATTGAAAGTAGCAGAGACTCCATAGTCACCTGGAAGTTTGATCTTGTAGGCATTATCATTGATTTCCTCCACTATCTAAAAAGGACCATCTGCTCTAGGGGAGAGTTTGACATTAAGTTGATTAGGAAACCTTTCCTTTCGAAGGTGTATCCAAACCCAATCTCCTTCTTTATACACAACCTTCTTTCGGTGCTTGTCATGATGAGTCTTATACCTAATGGTTTGACGTTGTAGGTTCTCACGAACTTCTTCATGAAGTTTCTTGATCTCCTTGGCTCGTTGTTCAGCATCTCCACTAAATTGTCGGGATGTGGGCAATGGAGCAAGATCTAAAGGACTGAGAGGACGCACTCCATATACTACTTCAAATGGGCATTTTCCTATAGCTTGATTTGAAGAGTTGTTGTAGGCAAACTCAGCTTGGGCAAGCACAAGATCCCATTGTCGCAAATTCTTTCCCACAAAACTTCATAGTAGATTCCCCAAAATCTTATTGATAGCTTCAGTTTGCCCATCGGTTTGGGGATGGCTAGCAGAACTAAACTGGAGTTGAGTGCCCATCATTCTCCATAAAGTCCTCCAAAAATAACTCATGAGCTTCACATCTCTATCTAAAGTGATGGTCTTTGGAACTCCATGTAGACGCACAATCTCTCTAAAATATAACTCAGCAATGAGAGAAGCATCATTAGTTTTCTGACAAGCAATAAAGTGAGCCATTTTAGAAAATCTGTCAACCACGACTATGATAGAATCCTTGCTTCGTTGAGTTCGTGGTAGACCAAGGACAAAATCCATACTAACATCTTCCCAAGGTGAAGTTGGGATAGGCAATGGCAGGTACAACCCTGTGTTTTGATTGATTGTCTTGGCTTGGTGACAAACTTTGCATCTTTGAATGTGACGAATGACATTTTGCTCCAACTTTGGCCAGTAAAAACTTTCTTTAACAAGAGCTAAAGTCTTGTCTCTCCCAAAATGACCAGCTAATCCACCATTATGTGCTTCCCAGATAATTGAATCTCGGAGTGAGCAACGTGGAACACATAGCCGGTTACCCTTGAAAAGGTAATCTTGCTGGCGATGATATTGCTGAAAGGCTTGATTAGAAGTGGCTTGCCAAATGTTGCTAAAATCAGGATCATCCTCATACAACTCCTTGATCACTTCAAATCCAATGACTTTCATTTGTAAGGAAGTAAGCAAGGCATGTCGGTGACTCAGAGCATCAGCTACACGATTCTGGACTCCAGATTTGTATTTGAGGAGGAAAGGATAAGCTTGTAGAAATTCACTCCAAGCAGCATGTCGGCAACTGATCTTCTGTTGAGAATTCAGGTGCTTCAATGCCTCATGGTCAGAGTGCAAGATGAATTCTTTGGAAAGAAGATAATGACTCCAATGCTCCAAGGCTCAAACAATTGCATATAATTCTTTGTCATAGGTGGAATATCTAAGCTTTGTGTCATTCAACTTTTCACTGAAGAAGGCAATGGGTCGACCTTCTTGACTTAACACTGCACCAATTCCAACATTAGAAGCATCACAATCTACTTCAAACATCAGGTCAAAGTTGGGAAGTGCAAGTACAGAGGTTTCAGTGAGCTTCCTCTTTAATTCTTCAAAACTCTGTTGGGCTTTGTCACTCCATGAAAATTTGTCACCCTTAAGGCTGTCAGTAATAGAGGCAACAATAGAACTAAAATTCTTGATGAATCTTCGGTAAAAAGATGCCAGGCCATGGAAGCTTCGAACATCATGCATCGATGTTGGTGTAGGCCAGTTAACAATAGCATCAATTTTACTGGGGTCCATCTTGATACGTTGAGCAGTGATGATGTATCCAAGAAATGTCACACTTGTAGTGAGGAATGAACATTTCTTGAGATTAGCATAAAGTTTCTGTTCTCTAAGGACTTCAAAAACTTGCCGAAGATGGTCTAGGTGCTCCTGTTCATTCTTGCTATATACCAGGATATCATCAAAGTAAACCACAACAAATTTCCCAATGAAGGGTTGAAATACGTGGTTCATAAGGCGCATGAAAGTGCTAGGAGCATTTGACAATCCGAATGGCATGATCGTCCACTCGTACAAACCATCTCTAGTTTTGAATGCTGTCTTCCATTCATCACCGGGACGCATTCGAATCTGGTGATATCCACTTCTCAAATCAATCTTTGAGAAGACAGTAGCTCCATGCAGTTGATCAAGCATATCATCAAGGCGTGGAATTGGGAAGCGGTACTTGATAGTGATTTTGTTGACTGCTCGACTATCTACACACATTCTCCAAGTTCCATCTTTCTTTGGGACGAGTAGCACATGCATGGCACATGGGCTAATGCTTTCCTTGACAAGTCCTTTCTCCATTAGTTCTTTGACTTGACGTTGAAGTTTTGCATACTCTTGAGGGTTCATCCGATAAGCAGGTTTGTTTGGGATGACAAATCCTGGGATGAAAGCAATGGCATGCTGAATGTCTCTCATTGGTGGTAATCCAGGAGGGATCTCGTTAGGAACAACATCAGAAAATTCTTCAAGGAGAGATCGGATTTCTTCTGGAAAAGGGCAAGTGGCATCATTTACTTTGGATAATAGTAGGAGACATGCTATTCCCGACTCTTGGTGCAACTTCTGAAAGGTTGATCTGGAGATTAAAGTCTTGTCCTCACCCTTCTTTTCAAGTGTTTCTTCAGGCTTCAGGGGAGTGAGCTTGACCTTCACACCATCTTTCACAAACGAGTAGGTGTTGGCATGGCCATCATGGATAGCCTTTTGGTCAAATTGCCAAGGGCGACCAAGTAACAAGTGACAAGCATCCATAGGAATAACATCACACCATACTTCATCTTGGTACCTATTACCAATAGAAAAAGATACAAGGCAATGTTTAGTTACTTTTACCTCGTTTCCTTTTCGTAGCCATTGTAACTTGTATGGATGAGGATGATCTTTGACAGGCAGACCTAACTTATCAACCATATAATTTGACACAACATTCTCACAACTTCCACTATCAATGATGACATTGCAGACCTTCCCTCGAGAAGTGCATCTAGTGTGAAAGATGTTATGTCGAAGCCAATCTTCATCCTTGGTTATGGTAGCATGAAGACTACGACGCACAACCAAAGATTCTCCGTGGTCAGCTGGGATGAGTTCTTCCTCAAGTTGGGGTGACTCAATTTCATCATTTTGCTCCTTTTCTGCTTCATCTTCTGAGGCTTCATGAATTTCTCCTCCGATAAGGGTAACAACTCTCCTATTTGGACAGTCGGAGGCTATGTGGCCAAATCCTTGACACTTGAAACACTTTCGAGTGTTAGATTGAGCTGGACGGCTCGAACTGACTTCCTTTTCAGTCTTGGCAGGGGTCTTAGCAACTGTTTTTGAGGCTTGAGTCCCTCTGCTGGCTCCAAAATCCCACGGTTTTGAAGCACTAGTGATATTCTTTTTTGAGATTTGCTTTTCAACCCTCAATGCTAGCCGAACTACATCATCCAAAGTCCAATATTGTTGAAGTTGAACAACTTTGGAAATGTCATAGTCCAACCCTCCAAGATATCGAGCTATGGTTTGCTCGTCCTTTTCCCGAACATCACACTTCATCATTAATTGTTCGAACTCCATAGTATATTCTTCCACAGTCAAAGATTTTTGCTGCAAGTTATGAAATTTAACAAAATTATCTTGGTAGTAACGGTCAGGTAAAAACTTACGAATGAGTTCCTGACGCATTTTCTCCCAAGTTCTAATTTTGTTGCGGCCTTCTCTTTCTCGACTGCGTTTGAGATTCTCCCACCAAATGGATGCATGCTTCTTTAATTTGATGGCGACAAGCTTCACACGCTTGTCATCAGGAATATCCTTGAGTTCAAACACACGCTCAACAGTGTGCAACCAGTCGATAAATTCATCTGGTTGAAGGCGACCTTCAAAATTTGGAATATCAATTTTGATGCCAAGGTCAGTGGATTTGGGAGCAGCATTTTGTTGGGGACGACGTCGACGACGAACTTTTTCTGTTGATGATGAGCTTTCATTATCCCTTAGGTGATGGAAGGGATTCTCATCATCAGTATCTTCCTCTGACTCATGTGGTTCATCTTGCGGGTGTTGAGCTTGCTGTCCCTCAAAAGCTTCGAGTCTTTCTTGAAGCCTTTGAATTTGTTGACGTAGTTCTTCCATTTCTATGTCTCGAACAACTCGTTGATGAGGAGGATTTTGTCTTCTGGGAGGCATGATGAGTTTAGGTTGGTAAGGGGCTTTTTTTGGAAAGTTAGTATTTGAAAATGGGGGTAATTTGAAAATTTATAAAATTATGGGATCAATCTGTAAGGTCAAAATAAGTTGAGGGACTTAATGACGTGGCAAAAGAGTGCGGCTGTGGTGATGACGTGTCACTGACGTGGCCAATAGATGATATGGCAATGAATGGATGATGACGTGGCTGATGACGCGTCGATGATATGGCGAATGACGTGGCAAATGGGAGGTTGAAGAAGACCGGCGCGTGACCTTCACACGATTTGCAGTGGTGCGAGTAGCCTGCGCGTGAGATAACGGCGGTGGCGCGTGTGGGCACGTGTGGGCGCGTTCTTCCTTGTTCGTCGACTGGGTTTTCACCAGAACGCTCAGAATGACGTGCAGACTCCAAATATATTAGCTCTGATACCAAATGGTGTAGGAGCCGATACTGAAACACCGATTTTGGCGAGATTTAAAATCCACTACGATGAATTCGATTACCAGGATCACCACTTAGGTTGGCAAAACTTAAGATACAAAGATAAATTAAGAGAATCCACTCTCAAGAAACTCACTCAAAACAGAGAAGAATTGAAACTTCATTAACTGATAAAACTTATGCATACAACGAAGGGAACATAGTTATTTAAAGGGAAAGTCTAACATAAGACAATAAATGAAAAGTGAAAATGCAGTTGGGAGTTAGCCATTTAATAGCCACTTTGACAAAGTTGCACCGGCCTAGTGGTGCTGCATAGTAGCTTTTGCATGCTTGTTTTTTTCCTGGTGCAGTGCGCCTAAATAATTATGGTATTTACTACTACCTTATACGATTCTCAGTCCACACTGTGTGAGGATTTAATGTGCAGGGACACTCGCTACCAGTACCACTACCATTCTTTGAAAACAGCCACCGCCTCAAGAGTCTTAAGGGAATGGCTAATCCCCAAGTTTTCTGCGTCGCAACTGCTGACACTAAGCTCGATGAGCTGAGGTTTCTCTCCGAGACAGTCCGGTCATCCCTCACCGCCTTCTCCAACAACTCTTGCACCAACGTAAGGATGTATCCATGAACTAATGTTCATATCGGTCTATATTTTTTGTACATGGGAAGTTAGTTGTCGGTCTATATTTTTTGTACATGGGAAGTTAGTTGTTTGGTAATTAATACAGGGGTTTTATATCCATCTATAACCTGTTGCTACGTACGATGGCTAATTTGTTGGTGGAAACAACAGGTTGAAGTTGTGGTAGTTGATGTTTCTGCCGGACAGAGAGTAACGGAGAGTTTCGCAGATTTTGCTTTTGTTACCAGAAATGAAGTTCTCTCATGCTACTCAGGATCCCTGGAGCAAACTCCAACTCTGCTTCCAAATGATCGAGGTGAAGCAGTTGTGATTATGAGCAAAGCACTAGAGAATTTTCTTAAGAAAGCTCAGGAAGAGGATCACGTTCTTGCTGGAGTAATTGGCCTTGGAGGCACTGGAGGCACATCTATGCTATCTTCTGCCTTTAGATCTCTTCCACTTGGAATGCCAAAGCTAATAGTGTCTACCGTTGCCAGTGGTCAAACTCAACCTTATATTGGAACATCAGATTTGGTGTTATTTCCATCTATTGTGGATATATGTGGGATTAACAGTTTGAGCAGGGTTGTGCTGTCAAATGCCGGAGCTGCTTTTGCTGGAATGGTCATTGGAAGGCTTGCAAGGTTCCAGGGATCATCTGGTACTGGTAACAAAAAATGTACAGTTGGTTTAACCATGTTTGGGGTTACAACTCCATGCGTAAATGCTGTCAAAGAAAGATTGGAAAAAGAAGGTTATGAAACCCTTGTTTTCCATGCTACTGGTGTGGGGGGAAAGGCCATGGAGTCATTTGTTAGGGAGGGATATATACAGGTAACTGTTTCCACTACTTTGTCCAATAAGGCTTGATGTGGGCTCTCTTGGGATATCTGACAACTTAACAGGCTATGTAGATGAGAATTTTCGTTTTATTATGTTTCATTCTTCTATTCAGATGCTTCCCGTTTGTGTTAATTAGGGGGTTTTGGACATCACAACATCAGAGGTTGCAGATTATGTGGTTGGAGGTGTGATGGCTTGTGACAGTTCCCGTTTTGATGTTATCATAGAGAAGAAGATACCTTTAGTCCTGAGTGTGGGAGCCTTGGATGTAGTGTGCTTTGGACCTAAAGATACCATACCCTCTTATTTTCTGCAGAGAAAAATTCATGTGCATAATGACCAGGTGATTAGTCCATGTAACCTGTGTTTCTCTTCTTGACTGCTTGCTTGGTTTCAGTGACAATATGCATACTGTTCTTTTCACTCTTATAGTTATTTGGATTTGACTGATATTCAGATCTAAATAGCTAATTAGAACAATGATCTATCTTTTTTGACCCACAAATAACTGGGCAGATGCAGTGCTTCAAGTGATTTGATGAACCTCAATAATAAATCAGTGCTTGTGATTAGGTATCAATCATGCGAACTACAGTAGATGAGAACAAGAAATTCGCCAGATTCATAGCAAATAAACTGAATCAGTCATCATCAAAGGTCTGTGTTTGCCTCCCACAGAGAGGTGTTTCAGCATTGGATGCACCGGGGAAGCCCTTTTATGATCCTGAGGCTACTGCTACTCTTTTGAATGAATTGGACAAGCTTATTCAGAAAAATGATGATCGACAGGTACCACTATTGCCTACCAAATATTGTACACTAGAATTTGATCTTTCTTTGTTTTTAATCTATTAAAGTTGCATGGTTTCATGCTTTTTTGTCCAATTTACTTTATGAAAATTAGCATTATGTTTGCCAACAGGTAAAGAGCTACCCTTACCATATCAATGACCGTGAGTTCACGGATGCCTTGGTAGACTCATTTTTAGAGATCAGCTTGAAGAAACATACAGAATCTAGCCTACCCCAAAGTGCTTCTTCTGATTCCAGCCAAGACCTACAAAAAGATTGTGCCTCCAAGACGAGATCTGTGACACGTGACCATTCTCCTTAGGCTTTAGCCCTGGGGACTTTCCTGATGCAAGACCAGGTTCTAGTAATCAATAAATAACAGTTGTTATAGTTTCTGCACTTATGGAAGTTCTATGGAAAATACGTAACATGATTTTTTTCCCCAATAATTGCATATTTCAATGTTTTCTGCACATGTATAAAAGATGATGTGGACAAAACCCTAGAAATTAACAAATATTTATAACAGAAACTCTGGAAAGAACTCTGGACATAATACAAAAGCTGAAAGATCAATAACTAAAGGACTGCTAATAATTAATAGGAGCCGGTGCAGGAACAGGAATATATGCAAAGTTTGAGGCCGGTGGTTTTGATATGATACCATTGTATAATTCATGGCACTTTCAGTTGGCAGGACGAGGTTCCTTGGCAGCTAAACCAGCTGCTACAAAGAATGAAAAGAACTGGTTTCTGCACATAGTTACAATGCTAACTTCTTACAAAGTCATCTATCTCCCATTGCAAAGCAATAGAAAGAGGCAACGGTGAAGACTTGGGCTTGGCAAAGCCTAAAATTTTGCCTGGAACATCCCTCTTGACTTCAGTAATAACATATGACACTGGTCTGAAAGCTTGTTGAAGAATAAACCTATTTCTCTCCATCCAGACATGATACACTACTGCATTTCATGCTAACTTGATCAGGGAGAGGTGCAAGGACTTCCTAGTTCCGACTAACTCGATTTCCCATCCATAAAAGGAATACCAGCCATAAAAGATAAGTTTTGCCAGACCTGTCTCGAGTGTGTGCACTTGAAGAACGGATGATCACAAGTTTCTGAAGCAGAACCACAGAAAACACATCTGTCAGTCAAAGATGAGTTCCATTGCTTCTGCCTAGCCCTTGTAGATGGTCTGTTTGGGATGGCTAACCAGCAAATAAAAGTGTGCTTAGCTAGCTATAGAATCTGAGAACCACATTATTCTGAACCACAGGGTTCTGTTATGCCTATCTTTAATCAGAACAGAGATGTATATAGATTATATACTTAATGGTTAAAAAAATTCAATAAATACTTAATGGGTTTTAAAAAATCTTTTAATAAATACCTATTCGGCTTTTCTATTGTGCCTATCTTCAAGTAGAGTTTTTGTTACCCAAAGAATGATAAATCCAATTGTTGAAAGTGTTGGGTCTACTATGAGGGGAAGAACCAGTAGCGTTAAGGATTTTGAAACTAAATACTCATCTGATTATTGAAAATGAATGTCAATATACACTTTCCAAAGAGCAGCTCAGTTATAAGGAGAGTTGAATTGGAGTGATATGGTGTGTTATGATTGATGCAGCAATGATGCTTTTGCTATGTGGTGGTTAATTGCGGTGTCTTGTCAGAGAGCTCTAAATTTGTTGATAACTCATGGGTTGGATCGATGGAAATGTTGTTTTGTAAGTAAGGTAAGGGTTAAGTTTTTGGACCAGCCCCTAAAACGATTATATGTTAGTCCGTAAATTTTTGCAATACTAATATAACATACGATTCATATCGCCTGTTTCTTTTTTTTTGAAAATAGGTAATGGACATATCGCCTGGTTAAAAATGAATTAGTCTATAGATACGTTCTATTCACCCTCATTGTCCAAAGAAAAAGTCTAAATTTCTGCAACGCTAATGTACCATATTAATCTGGCTGGGGAGGAATTAGTCTGTGGATACATTCCAAATACCTTCATTGTCCAAAAAAAAATTGTTGATGCCACAAAAAATAGGTGGTTTTTTTTTAGTTCCACAGACCATTTTTGCCCCTTTCTTCAACAATTGGTATGAAACACAAACACCCATTTCACTGTGAATATCAGTGTTGCAGAAAATAAAACACTCTCCAAGATCTGGGTGGAACATAAGGATTGGAGAACAGAAGAGTTCATTTAAATCTCACTGACTGTAGATGAATATGGTGGTTTTGGTTGATCTGAAACTTCGCCCTGCTTGCTTTCCTCTGCAGTCTTTAAATCTACCGCCCTTCTGGAAGGTTCCAAGGATTCTTCAACAGAGCAAGATGGTCCATGCAACTAAAAAAGCGTCAATTTTTCGTGGCATTAACAAATTTTCAGAGTTGAGCCCAGATTATCATCAGTGGATATCTAATGTCCCTTTTTTTTTTTTTTTTGTTGATGTCTTGTGTTCATTTAGATCTTGCAAATCTTTGTACTTTATTGTTAATTGTACCTCGGATCCATTTCACCAATCATATTTTTTTAAAAAGATGATAGTGTAATTTATTTATCCATTGTAATTTGCAACACAACATTAATTTTTTTTAAAAAAAATTTTACCCATATTACAATTACTCTATTGTTAAAAAGAATACATCCCAACTATCGTTCTTCATAAATATAAAATTTTACTTAATGGTAAGTGTGTTTTTGTAAAATCTTTGTAAGTTTTTCTAAAATCACCATAAGTAAAATGTAACAAATTAAATGGATTGGAAGAGTAAGCCTCTAAGCAAAGATGAACTCATGGGTCTTCATAATCTGTGTGATAATTTGAAGAGAAGACAATGAACATAAAGAACAAAAAGGAAGGCAAATGAAGCTTCATCAAGAGTGTCCAAAGATTTCTGGTTTCTTACCCAAAATTCATTGGTTTTTAAAGGGTTGTGGGGTATTGGGATATCAAATTAGTAAGCATTTGATCTTGATTCCTTTCTCACAATTTTTGGACATATCTGATGGTGTTTTCGTGGAGGAATTGATATATATTGGGTTTATATTAATTGAAGTTCTTTCATTGATTTTGAGGTATTTGTCCCATCAAAGCTGCTTTCATTTTGATTCCATTCTCACTATAGTTTTGGACACATCTGGTGTGGTTTTCAGAGTAGCAAAATAAACCCACCCATAAAATTTTTAACTTGGACAAATAATTCAATTTAAATAAATTTGACATGTTATTAAATAAATTGATGTATATAATATTATAGATGAATCCTTGATATTATATACATCATGTTGTAAGTTTATATATGTTGGGTGGCATTATATCTATATCATTTTCAAATCTCTTGAAGTCTATTAACTCAAAATTCAGGACATCATCTACTGCTTCCAAAACTTCAATAACCAGGACCAAATGGTTAATAAAGGAAAAGCAGAAAAGGAAAATGGCTGAAGTCCAGAGAATAGAAAACCGTGATCATTGATCAAGCTTTAAATCTACCGATCATCACTTCCTCACAATGTTCCTGAGGAAGATTGTGAGGAAGAAATGGGGAAGAGAAGCAGAAAAGGAAAAGAAGCGCAAACAATCCAGAAACAGGAGCATTTGTTCAGAGGTGAGGAAAAAAAAAAAAGAAAAGAACGGATATTATTCCCAACATAAGCCACAAAGAGGATAAATAATAGGTATAACTAAATTAAAAATTGTAGGCTGTCATGGACACTACAAAACCAAAATAGAAGCCTATATTTTACACTTACGAAACTAGTGGAGATAAATAATCAAAATTATCATTGTTGCTCTTTTTCTAGTAAATATAAGAGATATTGAATTTGAGTTGTATAATATATAAGCTAAATAAGTTTAAGGAGAAATGGTTACCATTAGCAGTGTAACCACAAAATTAAACCATTGTTGTGCCTTCAATTTTTTGAATCTCCCCAAAAGTGAGTCGATCTGTTTCTATTATCACTTATGCCAAGCCAGTAGGAGTCCCTTCCATATTGCTAAATATAATAGTATAATCACACACTAATTTCTATTTTTGACAAAGAAAAATTTATATTATTTTTAAATAAAGCACAAAAAATTTTAATTTTTTCATCTAATTAGCAAACTTTTTTTATTAAGTTAATATATTTTTTATGATAAATTAATGTAAAAATAAAAATATAATAATTATTTAATGTTATTAAAGACAAAAAAATAAAGTTGAAATTAATTAATAAGTATTAATTAAAAATTTTG